TGGAGGTTGCTGTGAGCTATAATGCCATGGCACTCTACCCAGGGGGACAGCTTGAGGCTCTGTCTCAAAAAAAAAAAAAAAAAAAAAAACTCCTGCAATCCCATTACTGCATAGATGCCTATAATGGAATTATAGGATCAAATAGAAGTTCTACTTTTGGCTCTTTGAGGATTCTCCATACTTCTTTCCAAAAAGGCTGTATTAGTTTGCAGTCTCACCAATAGTAAATACACGTTCTGATTTCTCTGCATGCACAGCAGCATCTGCAGCTTTGGGACTTTGTGATGTGGTCTATTCTTACTGGGGTTTGGCAATATCTCAAGGTAGATTTGAGTTCCATTTCTCTGACTAATGGTAAATTTCTTGAGAGTAAAGAATGAGTCATCTGGCTCGGTGCCTGTGGCTCAAGTGGCTAAGGCGCCAGCCACATACACCTGAAATGGCGGGTTCAAATCCAGGCCAGCCCGCCAAATAACAATGACAGCTACAACCAAAAAATAGCAGGGCATTGTGGCAGGCGCCTGTAGTCCCAGCTACTTGGGAGGCAGAGGCAGGAGAATCACTTGAGCCCAGGGGTTGGAGGTTGCTGTGAGCTGTGATACCATAGCACTCCACCCAAGGCGACAGCTTGAGGCTCTGTCTCAAAAAAAAATACAAAAGAATGAGTCATCTTCATCATTGCCCACAAATGTTCAAATATTTGTCTGATTATTGCTGTTAAATGGAACATAATTACAGTATGTAGTGCTTCTTCAATATTAGTATGTGCCAGCTCTTTATACGGTATTTCTTCTAATCCCTTCAATAATCCTATGAAGTAGGTACTATTAGGGAAACTAAAACTAAAAGGAGACGGTTTTGTTTTGGGTTTTTTTGCCCCAAAACACACAGCAGGCAATTAAGTGAACTGTGATTAGAACCCAGATTTGATTTCAAAGCCTTCATCTTTCTACCACACCAATGTTGTCCAAAATTGCCTGATCCTGGATATCACCTGAAGCTGTACTTACAAAAACAAAAACAGATTTCCAGGCCTAATCTCAGACCTAAGAAATCAAAATATCTAGAGTTAGGCCAGGAACAGTGGCTTACATCTGTAATCCTAGTACTCTGGGAGGCCAAGACAGGTGGATTGCTTGAGCTCAGGAGTTCAAGAACAGCCTGAGCAAGAATGAGACTCCCATCTCTATTAAAAATAGAAAACAAGCCCAGTGTTATGGTAAGCACCTGTAGTCCCAGCTACTTGGGAAGATGAGGCAAGAAAATTGCTCAACCCCAAGAGATTGAGGTTGCTGTGAGCTATGATGTCACAGCACTCTACTACCCAGTGTGACAGAGTGAGCCTCTGTCTCAGAAAAAACTCTAGAGTTTATTCTGCCCTAGGTGAAAAAATATTAATTTCAAAGGAGATCATTATTAAAGATCCAAAAATGAAAATCTATAGCTTAAGAACTTTCCCATAATTGGATGTTTTGTGCCAATAACTTAGTAACACATAACAGAAGACAACCAAGAATTAAAATACTTGTAGGAAAAGCAGCCCAAAGAAGGAGAACAAGGGTGTTTTCAATGAAACACTTAGTGATAGAAATGAATTAAATATAATTAAAACATGTCATGTTATATGTCCTGGCCTTCTTAATTAGTTAAATATTTAACAATCATCATTTAAAAGTGATAAGTTAAAGATTGTTGAGTAATTATCTTTATGAGTCACCAAATTGTAAACCAAAGAAAAATCCAGGAACATCTTCAAACTATGGGAGAATTAGCATGTATTTACTACTCAGTGTCCATGAGTTAAGGCAGTCCTTTTTTTCCAGGATTGCTTTCCTGTGAAGAACAAGAATATTTGCTCTGTTTTTTCAACTTTCTGCAGTGGTCTTCACACACTGATAAATTTCTACAAATTTCACAAAATTCTACCACTTGTCACCAGTGTCTCCTCAGCCCTATAACAACAACAACAAAAGAAAAAAAAAAAACTTTAAACACCTTGCCCTTTCAGTTGCTTGGACATCACAATAAGTGAACAAAAATCAGTTTGATTTCCTACCTATTCTGCTCATTGCTATATCAGAT